AAAGAGTCCACTTCTCAACCTCATGAGACAGAGACACAGAAGAAACAGCCATCTAAGAGTAAACGTGTCAAGAAGACTTGGTGACGGCTCAGTGACGTCTTTACCACAACTGGTCACTGAAGAAGAGTCAGTCCTTGAAACACCAGAGACAGTAGATCCACAATTGAAGAAACAGCCATTAAATGACAAGGAGAAAACAAAACAAATCTCACTTTTCCCGAACCAGTCAACATCCAGGTGGAGAATTTACCTGACGTCTCTAACAAGCAAACCCAAGAAAATGTTATCGACCTCCAACAGCATGTACAAGTCCTGCTTCAACAATTGCAGAAAACAAAGGCATCCCTATCCGAGGAAATCGAAAAGAGAAATTTGGCAGAGAAAAATTATGAATGCCGCTTGACACAGCGCCAACTTTATGAAAAGATAAATACTAAATTGAAGGAAAACGTGGTGAACACAGTGCCCTCAGCAGGTATGCTTCTATATTAGGTTGACAATTATTCAGACATAACAGTACCCGAAAGAAATAAGAACAGATACCAAGACTTTATTTTAGCTTAAGGATGTGCTTAGATCAAATGCACCTAACAAAGCATCTGCCTCTGTTGACGGAGAATAAACTGTTATTTTAACACAACATCAGTTTTAGCATCCCAAAAGCCACAAAGGTTTCACTTTGGTTTAGCTTTATGTGAAAGAGGAAGGCGTTTTTGAACAGGACCAGAAAAGCACCTGACTCAAGCAGAAGATTTTGCCTCCAGGTTGGTGTGGACGTGTGACAGTGACGGTGTGAATTGATGCCAAACTGGAAATGCTAGGAGACATGGGGATCTCAGGGAGAACATCTCTAGTTCTAGTCATCTTCATTACTTTTCTACAAATCCGAGGTAAGCATTTTCCTCTCTACTTAGACTTTTTAGTCAGAATTTTCGACACTGATTAACGTCTTGCTGAAAGCTTTGCTCACTTGACTTAATTTATATCAGATACTCATTAAAACAATTTTTTTTCCAGCTCTGATGTGTGACAAACCCACAGTTGTTTCTGGCACTGAGGGTCAAATGTTTGACTTCATATGTGAGTATCCAAGCGACAGCAAAAACAACACGAAACACTTCTGCTGTTTAGACATTGATGAGTCCTTCGGTCAGGTCGTACGAACTTCCAAACACAACGAGTGGACAAGAAAAGGACGTGTCTCTCTTTACGACAACACTACAGCTGGCTACTTTATCGTTAGGTTGGATAAACTGTATTTAAACGACAGCGGGAAGTACCATTGTGGTGATTTTGGGAGCAGTGATCGCATCATGAAGATACATCTGCATGTCTCCCAAGGTAAAGTTCAAAGCATCAAATCACAACAGAATATTGAACCTTAAATTGTGCTGATTTCAGATTATAACTCAACATTAAATGTGTTTTTGTTTTTGTCAGAAATTATTGGCATGCAACACACCACATACAAAGTCTGCTTGTAACATGTTCAGCTACATCTCACCAGCTGACGTGAGAAACATTCGCTGTTGACCTGCTGCGGTTTAGAAATGACAGGTAGCACAAGCCATAAATGAGAACAGGGTATAATTAGTTTTCCATGTTATCTTCTCCTTTTCAGAAGTTTCAATTTCTGTAGCAAAAGGTCGGCAAGACCACGTTGACATGGAAATGAGAACAATTATATTTTACTTGATTAAAAAAAAAAGTGGCAAAAGAAATGCTGCCTTTCTCTTGCTAAATTAGCTCTGTATGTTTTTGATGTTTTTTATTCAGTACCTCTGATGCTTAGGCTATAAAGAACAAGGGACATAGTTTCAAAAGGATGGGATTTTTGGCTTTCAACATGCATAAAAGCTGACAGAGACATACCAAGATATAACTTTGGCGCACCTGTGTTGGTGTGATTCGTAAAATCCCACTGACGCACATGGAGGTTTGTGGTCGTGAGGTGACTAAATACGAAGGAGGTCAAGCTAGATGAATTGTTCTGGGTTTAAATAAGCCAAAAACAATCTCATGCTAATGTTATTACAGGTTCTCTGTGAAAATAACATGGGTACATTTGATATTTAAAAAAATATTAGCAATTCATTGAAACACTAAACTTTTAAACTTCAAATTAATCCCTGAGTTCATGAAGCTTTCAGCCGATACACGTCAAATAAACATTGTTTTGTGTGAAATTCAACTGGAAATGAGATACAGTAAAGTTATTTACAGGCTCCTCCTCTGTACTTAGAGCTACAGTATGTCACTTTTATAAAGAATATGTTTTTTACATGTTCGTTAAAACTGTCACCATGTCATGACAGTTTGTTATGAGACAGATAATCTGTGAAAAGCTCAATATCCTCCACCTCCTCGCTGAGCTGCGGTTACCGTCTAAGTGCACTGCTCTGATTCAAAACAACACGGCAGATCCGGCAGGCCCAAATGAACTCTGTCAGATTTAATTTCAATACTTTTAAGGTGTCTATATGGGTCAACACCAGAGAGAGTTAATTTAACTCCTTTTGGAGAGTTGGTATCTTTAACTCTAATTAAGTGTCAAATACCAACTCTGTGTGGAGACAGGTCCTCTCTGCACTCCACCAAAGGGCTGTCCACTCACTAACAAAGATTGTCTTGGGGTTGTTGGGCTGTTCATGAAGTTTGGCCAGAGACACCAACATGCTCCTCACAGGTACCGCATTGGACAGTCTTGAGTCTAGAGGTAAGACAGCCAGTGTTGGTCTCTGGATCTTAACAAACAAAAAACATAACAATAAAAAAATGGAACAAAGGAATACATTTTTACTACAACTTCAGCATCTTGCACCCTGCTGTTATGTGCTGGACTGTCTCAGAGGCCTCCTTGCACAAT